ATATATATATTTGTTGATTTCAGAGAGGAAGGGAGAGGGAGAAAGAGAGAGAAACATCAATGATTTGAGAGAATCATTGATTGGCTGCCTCCTGCATACCCCACACTGGGAATCAAGCCTGCAACCCAGGCATGTGCCCTTGACTGGAATTAAACCTGGGACCCTTCAGTCCAAAGGCCGACACTCTATCCACTGAGCCAAACTGGCTAGGGCAAGTCATACTTATTAGCTAGTTTACATCTAAGTTAATGTGTTAATATACCCAGAACTATTCGTATATTATTTTTAGTTTTGCAATGAAGGCTTTGCTTTCATAGTAAAGACATTCCAATTATAGTATCAATGAAGACCTGAGCAAGAAGATCTTTATTAGTTCCCTGGATGCCACAGAGCAAGCTCAGTTTCATCTCCTTAGTCCTCACTTCCTTCTTGAAGACTCTATCTGGTTTTCTTGAGAGAGGTTTCCCACTGAGAAGGAACCTCTCAGTAACCAAGTAACCAAGCCTTTACTTTTTCCTTCTCATTGGCAGATTACCTCCAATATTCCAGGGCCTTCTTCCTAATCTCTGTCCTCACCATACTCATTGGTCTTGGCTGGCTCTTAAGTTCTTGCCTCCCTAGAAGAGGAAGCATGACCACCAACTTGGATCTGAAGGTATCCATGCTCAGCTTCATCTCAGGTACAAACATAGAGTGGCAGGGTGATGTCAGGGTAAAATTGTCAAGGGAACAAAGTTTCTCTATGGGGTTTTCATCCTCTTTTTCTTGTCCCTTTCTTCTTTTTCAATATTACATCAAGTTGCCAGCTACCTGCCCTGTCTTATTGTATAAAGCACACTTTTGGTGACTTATGCCAGGAGAGAGGTAGAAGCCCTTTTTTCTCTCCCACTTGGTCAATCCCCAAATTTTGATCCTGCCATACAAATGGCATCTGGAAGCAGAAGAGTTGGGGGTGGTAGTCAAGGCAGACTGAAGACACTGATGGGTTGTGACATCTTTTCTTCTGGTCCTAGCCATCTGCTTGCTCTTCTGCCTCATCCTATTTCTGGCACAGGTTCACTGGCACACCAGGGATGCCATGGAGTCAGACCTCCTATGGGCCTATTATCTAAACTGGTGGAGTGACTTCTTATACATGTTTGCTGGTGAGTCAGTCCCCTGCCTTATCCCAGAAGGATGGAAGGGGAATACACTTATTGAAAGAGAGGTGGAATCTAGGAAAAATAGAAGCACTGATTCTTCCTATTTAGAGCATCTATGCATCAAGAAGCAGTATGATATGAAACTGAAAACTTAGAATTAGTAATCTGTCCTGCCACTAAATGAGCCATAGACAGGTTGAGTGACTTGCTATGACCACACAGAAAGTAGTCAAACTATGATTTGATTCCAGGAGATTCAAGCTTTGTCCTAACCATGTGAAAATACTATAATGGAATGGGAGCATAGGACTGTAAAGTAATTCTGGGGGGGGGGGGGAGAGGAGGGTTGGCTTCACTGAAAAGAAGCCCTTTGAACTGAGCATTTTAAAGGATGAGTAAGTTTTAAAAGTCAAAAGACCATGTGTCTATTGTAACTCACCTCAATTTCTTCTCTTCCCCTAGGAATCATCTCCTTCCTCAACTACATAACATTCAAATCTCCTCCCCTTGATCAAAATGTCACTGTGATTCCCACAGAGAGGTCAAGGCTGGGGATTGGTCCAGTGACTACAGTATCACCTGCTGAAGATGAAGAGTCAAGGTCTGAGATGGAATCTCCAAGTGATGAAGAGGAAAAACTATCAAATGCAGAACTACCAAGCACAGAACTATCAAACGCAGAAATGTGATAGTGATAGGAAAACGCAATTACTGCTTGTCTTAAGAATGGGGGAGAAGTTACTAAGTTGGAAATGATTGTGTAGACTCTAAAAAAACTCTCTTAATATCATGTCCATATTACTGAAGGAGACAGCATTAAAGCTGATGAAGTGTCCTTTGTATGCGTTAGACCCAAAATATGTATGATAATCAAAAGAAAGTAATGAAATCTCATTAAGAAAAAATTCTATAAGAAAACATCACTGTTTAGGGTCATGAATGAAAGAAACTAGCAATAGATGCAGTGTGTGGATCAGAGATCTCTTTGGGCATCAGGGGTCTCATGGACCAAAGTGGTCAATGGAATAAAATGTCATCTAATTCTGTTTGAAAATCTCATTATTTGTGGCTGTGAGCATGGGTGGAGGTACTTGGACAATATTGTTGAGTTTGAATTGGAGATCATTACCAGAAATGGAATGAACACCAATGGAGATAACATCTATCACCCAAAGGTGTTGGGAGGTGCTAGGGGGGTTCTGGGGAGTCCATGAGGTCCCATTTCCTATAAGAATTGGTCATTTTAAACCCTTACAGCATACTATATGAACCCACTGCTTCTCCCTAGGCTGAGAGATACCTTCACCAGACATACACAAACTCCCTGAAATTCTATACAAAACTTGTGTTTGCACTTTTCTCTGAAAAAAGTCATAGCCTCTGTTAGATCCTTGACAAGCCTGTGACTCTTTTGATTCCTTAGTCATCAAATATGTTTCCTTAAGCCAAATGACGCTAAAAGTCTTAAGGTCTTCCTTCAGCCTAAGTACATATGTGGACCAAGTTGAAGGATTTTATCTTGTTTTATATATCCTGTAAGATTAAGGAAGTGGGGGCAGAGGGATTCCAGAAATCACATAGGTTTTTTTTAATTCTCACTGGAGAATATTCTTTTCATCGATTTGAGAGAAAGGAAGAAGAGAGAGAGAGAGAGAGAGAGAGAGAGAGAGAGAAACATTAATGTGAAAAACATCAATTAGTTACCTCCCATGTTTGCCCCGACCAGGACTGAAACCGCAATCTAGGTATGTGTTTGATTGAGCCACCCGGCCAGGAAAATCACACAGATCTTTTTTAAAAAATATATTTTTTTTATTGATTTTAGAGAGGAAGGGAGAAGGAGAGAGAGATAGAAACATAAATGATGAGAGAATCATTGATCGGCTTCCTCTTTCATGCCCCACACTGGGGATCAAGCCCACAACCCAGGCAGGTGCCCTGACTGAGAATCGAACCGTGATCTCCTGGTTCATAGGTGGACACTCAGCCACTGAGCCATGCCAGCCAGGCCACATAGATCTTTTGATGGCTAAATATCTTTTTCAGAACCAGACCAGATTCCAGGCAGAAGATTCCTTTATTATTTTTAGTAGCTACCACTACTACCCTATTGATTGAGGTCCATTCTTCTCATCCCCAAGCCTGGCAATGGAATGAACTACAGTGCCCAGCCTCTCCCCTTGCTGTTCTTAAAGATAAGCCCTTGGGTCTTTTTGGTTTAAATAAAGATTCACCAGTAACCTTCGTAGAAACAAACAAAATAGAAATGGAGTAATTACGTTGTTCTTATAATCCCAGTTCTTATAATCTGATCAGTAATTCTTAAACATTTCCAGATAGTAACTGGAAGCTCAATAGATTTGTTTCACTGAGCCAAATGAGCTTTAATTTTAAGGGTAGAAGTTTAGCAGCACATATTTGTGTGCACCCACATACAGAGACACACATACAAACACATATATGCACATACCTCATTTTGACTCTGCTTTATAAAACCCTTCTCCCCATGTTGGCTCCTCCTCATAGTAGGTGATCTTAGTCAGGGCAGAATGACTGGTGCCTCCTTACTCCAAGTGGCCTCATTTCAGAGGCTCTTCAGTCTGTTCCTGGACCTTTGTCTGGTTGTAAGAATAAACATGTAATCAAGTCTAACTCCCCTTCCTCCCGTCACCACTCACACATGAAGTATACCCCGCATGTTACTAATTAAGGATTCATTGGGTTCACAAGCTTGCTTTATAATTCAAATTGCTTGGATACTTTAATTATATGACTAAATTGACAAGGAGCTGAGTACTGATTACTCTTCAGGGAAGGGAAGTTTTAAGTGGTGTGAGGAGAAGGAAGCAGGTCTGAAAGCGGAAGATGCTAGATAATAAAAAAGCAATGATAAAGACCCTGACTATTAGGGGAGAATAGGCAGTGATTATAACTAAGGTTCTACTTTGCTAACAGAGAATGGCCATATAAGCAGAGACAACCTTTCATTGCTCCTTTAAAAACTGAATGCTCTCTTTATTTTCTTCATTCTCTCTTTCTTTGCTTGTAGAAAATTCCTTTAGAAGCCTAAGTAGATTTTCAATAAGATAGCTCAGTAAATGACCCTTTGATACATCCCCTCTGCTCCAAACATATTGCATGATAGATGAAGGGGTGGGAAGAGAGATTATATTACATCAAGTCAAAACAAGACAAGCAGTTTCACTGACCAGAAAAATAACAAAAACTCAAGGCTATGATTCGAGTTAAGCCATAGATTTAATAGGCTATAAGTCGAAAAGTAAGCAGAGATGACTAGCAAGACAACTCTTGTGTAGTGAAAAGGACTATCAGTGCTTCTCAAGACATGGACTAGAGCCAGGTTCACAGCTGTAGCTTAAGCTAAGGACTTATGAAAATAAATAAATAAAAACTACTGCCAAGCGTTGACTGAGTTGTAGCTTATTTGGAACCACAGACCCAAAGCCAGTGATGGCGAACCTATGACACGCATGTCAGAGGTGACACGTGAACTCATTTTTTGGTTGATTTTTCTTTGCTAAATGGCATTTAAATATATAAAATAAATATCAAAAATATAAGTCTTTGTTTTACTATGGTTGCAAATATCAAAAAATTTCTATATGTGACACGGCACCAGAGTTAAGTTAGGGTTTTTCAAAATGCTGACATGCCGAGCTCAAGAGGTTTGCCATCACTGCCCAAAGCAGTAAAAGGAGACAAGCAGCCCATTTATTCATTAGCTGGGTCAGTGGCCTTCCCTGATAGCATAACAACAGGGAATCTGAAATGCCATATTATGAGACCTGACCCTGGACTAGGGCCTTTGGCCAAAGTAAGGAAACCGACAAACTACCGATGGAATGAGCAGAGAGGTAGAAAAGGAGGCAAAAAAAGGCAACAACAAAAAATGTTGTGCTTGCAAACAAGAATTCAAAACATGTAAAAAAATGTTCAGAAAAAAATTCAAAGTCAACAATCAGAATATAAATTCATTTCAGATTGTCTGGTGTGTAATAGGATAAAGACTTTAAGTATTCCTAGGACACACAAAGAGATATGATGTAATTATGGATTACAAAAAAGGGCCAAACACTATGAAACAAATATAGATAGAAATAAAACAAGAACACATTTAAATGAAAAAGAACCAATTAGGAATCATGGGAATAAAAAATATAGCTATTGTCATAGGAAATATAGTCAATAATATTGTAGTAACTATGTATGGTGTCAAATGGATACTAGGCTTACTAGGGTGATCACTTCATAAGTTATATAAATGTTTAAACACTATGTTGTACACTTGAAATTACTATTATATTACATGTCAGCTGTAATTTAAGAATGAAATATATATATATTTAAGAATATATAGCCATTGAGCCCTAGCTGGTTTGGCTAACTGGATAGAGCATCGGCCTGCGGACTGATGGGTCCCAGTTTGATTCCAGTCAAGGACACATGCTGGGTTGCAGGCTCAATTCCCAGTAAGGGGTGTGCAGAGTCAGCTCTATCTCTCTCTCCCTTCCTCTCTGAAATCAATAAAAATATATTTTAAAATATATGTAGGATGTTTCAATAAATTTCAAGACTATCAATCAGCCCATGCTTCCTGCCACAATGAAATTAAATTAGAATTCAATAAAAAGAAAATAATTTAAAACTTTATTATACTTTTGAAAACCTTAAAAATTTTCCCTAAAATTCATGGGTGAGAAGGAAACCACAATGGAATGAACAAATATTTAGATCTGAACAACAATGAAAGAATTACTACAATCAAAACCAATAGGAAGAATGACGTCAGAGGAATGGTGGCATAAGGGCAGGTCTTTTCCTCTCCCCCTGACATTTCAACAAGTTAACCATCTATAATTCAAAAAAGAAGTCCCTGCTCAACACAGATGCACACCTGAGAGACCAGCGTACTGAAACAGCTAGGGTGGGCTTCCTGGGATAAGCTGGGAGACAAGAAGGGAAGGAAGCTAGGACATGCGTCTGCACAGTTGGGAACTCACAGCCCAGGTACAGAAAGGGGAGAAGGCCAGCTTCAGTAGCCGGGAGGAACAGAGAACTGTGCGGGGCAGTCCAGCAGATTGGCAGGGCAACCTGCGAGCTGCGAGCTGCAAGCTGTGAGCCGCCAGTGCAGGAGAGGACATTGTCTGAGTTGCGAGGTCCTGCAGGCAAGCAACCAGAGATTGCAGTGTCTGTATCGTGAGCACCCTGCGAATAGTGCCTGAGTAGTCAACAGACGCTTACCCTATAGAGCACTGGGTGCTGCCTAACAGCTCCCCACTGCTGGGCCTGGAGATAGTCTTTCAAAGAAAGTAAGTCACTAGAGCCCTGCCGCTGATTAGACTCCCCAAACTCGCCTCCCATTGCGCTTAGAGTTGGCTCCACGAGTATATTATCTGTAAACCAAGAGTTGTTGCAGTAGAATCCCTGTTTCCCTCTGTGATTGAACCGCAGGAGGGGTGTTTGGGCTGAATTCCCGGAGATCAGGGATCTCCATTACAGTGAGGGAAAACAAACCCCATCCCTGAGCACCAGAGGCAGTACTGTCCTACGGAAGCCACCAAGGCTCAAAACTGTGAAACCAGAGGTAAAAATCTTGCGATTCAGCACCATCTACTGGAACAAAATAGAAAGACCTCTTTAGAAATAAATGGGAAAACAAAGGAGGACA